GCATAAGACTGGACGCCATGTCCCGCTACATGGTGATGGATCATTGGCAGTAGCCCGTCACGAAAGCGCCTCGCCTTCTTCGCCTCGGTGTCCACCAAATAGGGAATGAAAGACCCGAGACGAACGAACTCCCGCTCATACTCATCCACTGATCAGTGGCCCTGCTTAAGCGCCAAGAACTGACGCTCCATCTCAGCCTTGTAGGTATCCGGGTAATACTTATCCCTCAACATCTCCTTGAACTGCTGCCATGTGAGGTTCTTCTTCTCACCTGGGCGCATGCCCCAGTAGGAGTTCCACCACAGCCTGGCGTCTCCTGTCATCTGAACTTGGGCACACAGAATGCTGTGCCTCTCAGAGCACTCGATGATCTTGAAAATAGCCTCGAGACCCTGGATCCACTCATCAACTAGGCGAGGATCTCCCTGCCCCGTAAACTTGTCGGGATTGTAGCCACGGAACTAGGCAACTACCTCTGCCTGAGTCATCTCCCGTTGAGCCTGATTCTGACGGCGTGCCATCTGAATAATAAGCCGCATAACTTGGTCAGAACAGGAGATGAAAATTGAATAAAGCTGAAAGAAAACGCTGAATACTGAAATAGGCACAAATTTCTTGACAAGTTGCTGAAAATAACTCGATAATCTAGAGTTCGACTAGTGTTCGAACTAGAGTTCTGGCTAAAATTCCGAATACTGATAGAGATAGATCTGATATTGCTAGGAGTCTTTATACTGATTTGAGCATCTAGAGTTCGGATTATCTGAATCCTATTGAGCATAGACTTAGTATTGTTTGCTTATATAAACTTTGAAAAATTTAACAGGGTGCACTTACCTGGTAGTCAGCGCGGCGTGAGTGTAGTGTGGTCGGATTTTCTAAAAATTTCCCGTCTAATTAAAGTATTCAGATGCACAAAAGGTGCTCTGATACCAGCTGCAACAGCCCGCTACTTAGGGCCAGTTTTCTGCAAATTTTACTTTCGAAAATGCTTATAAATTTTTCGACATCGTTTGCAAACTATCTCGAGATGCTGCTAAAAACTTATCTGCTTTAAAATCAGTTTTCTTTAAACTAGGTCTATCAGCTGGTTTAGACATAAAGAAAATCAGATTAATATTTTATCAAATCAAGCACGTAAAACTGGACCCGTTCGTACTGGCGAACCGGGTAAAACTTTTAAAATCTGGGAATACTGTCATGAAAGTTCGATAATGAAAATAAACATAGCGGAAGTCTGAAATGCGTGGTCATAATAGTTATACAAAACATAGTAAAACACATGTCCCTGGAACGGCTCACTGTGCCAAATCCACGACCACAACCACCACAACTGCCCTCACGCCTGCCCGCCGACCCTGTCATTTGAAAAACATAATGGGGGTGAGAACTGGTCCTCTTGTACTCCATAAAAACCCAGGCTAAATTAAACAACAATAATAATAATGATATCACAATACTGGTATGCATAAGTAAACTGAAATCTCCTGGACACTATGGCCGGTAACTGTAATCTCCCAGACACTCTGGCCGGTAACGTGTGCACACTCTGATGGTATATTTAAGGTGAATTGGGCCACCACCAGAACTTAGGGAAGGCAAACTCGGCCTTGACCCCAAGCGGATAAAACTCATATACATATCTGAACATGATATCGACTATTATACTCAATGTATAACCCAGACTTGGTCCCCACTTGATCTGCTTTGAAAATACGTAAGTGCTGCTGTGCTGGTAGCTGACTCCTCAAGCTACATAAAAATATAAGCAAACAAATATACTAAGTACTATGCTCTTCATATGCGCAATAATATGCTAAGATGCTCTACTCTATCAGATTACTCATCCGGATATAAAGGAACGCTCTATGGGTTCACTAAAATAATACTGAGTCCGGAAATTAGACTGATATGCTTAACTGATCTGGTTTGGCTCGGAAAAATACTAAAATTTCGGAATAAGACTCGGACCGAAAATCACGAACCAAAACTAACTCGAACCGCCGGCTAAACCGGCCGTTTCGCTGACTGGCTGAACCGGGTCGGGCTGAACTGGACCGGGTTGGAATGCCGGGTCACTCTAGACCGGGTGGTCACAGACTGCATGGGCTGGCCAGGCTCGGTCCCGCGCAGGGACCGCTGATGCCCTTGCGCGGCGCTAGGCACAAGCTGGGTGCTTCCGGGCCTCGGTGCTGGGCGCTGCTGGTGCGGACAGGCATGGCCAGGCTTGGCTGGCACGGCCTTGGCACGGCTGGGTGCCACTCGGGTGCGACTGGTCACTACCGAGGTCGACTGGGGCGCTGGCGTGCTTCTGGGCACGGCCGGACTCGGTCTGGCACTACTGGGTGTGAACAGACACGCTGGGCTCGGGTCTGGCACGCCTACATGCGGACAGACCCTACTCGCACGGACTCTGGCGCGGCTGGGGTGATTAGGGCGCTGTCGGGCGACCCTAGGCACCCAGCAGCATGCCCCGAGGCCAACTGCACCTAAGGAACACGACTCGGGTTCACTAGACACGGCAGTGGGTGCTCAGGCATGCGGCTGGCACGACCTGAGGCTTACTCTGCGCGGCACGAGCGACTGGCTCGAGACCACGCGTGCACTAACGTTGGGGCAACGCTACCGGGCGCTGTCGGAGGTCGTTGGGCGCTACTGGCGCCGAGACCTCACACACTGGCACGGACAAGCGCTGCTAGGCGTTGTCACGTGCGCTGGGGGCTACGGTGCCTCGCACACACTGGGCGCGGGCACGAACAGAGGCAACCTTAGCCTCGGTTGGCGCGGCCAGGGCACGGCGAACGCTGCATGCGCGGCTGGTGACCCATGACCGGCCTTCGCCGGACTTCCGGCGACTAATTCGGTGTCAACCAATTCAAACCAACATAACATGATATTAAACATGCAAATATGCCAAGAAATGCTAGGGCAACTCGGTTGGATATTGACTTGGCTCGGTAGGGCCGATATGGCACCTTTGAACCCTAGGCCACCGAACTAACATGCTCAACTTAAAAATTCACTTATGGCCGAATAATCTACATCAAAATTCAAGACTTTAAGGGCTAGAACATTGGTCATATTTCACATGCATATTAACTTGGTTTAGAAGTGAAAAATAGCTCGATTTCACTAACAACTTGACCGAACAAATGAACTCAAAGCATGCCAATCTTTTACCAACGTCAATCTCATGATTTTTGAGGAATTATAAGCTATAAAAATCGACCTACTCATGCTTGTACCAAAATTTCCGAACTTAAGGGCTTAATCTTCAAAAATTTGTATCTTCATATTTAGTACGTGCATGACATCATTTTTCATCATGATAATTCCTAATTTATCATGTATAAGCTTAGGCTCACCAGTTAAAGAAAAACAGATTTTCAGAATAGATAAGTTTAGTAGCATCTCGAGTTAAGTTAAATGATTTCGAAAAATTTATATGTATTTTCGAAATAAGTTGCAAAAATTTTTACTCTGATACTAGTAAGTTAGCGGGGTGTTACAGCCTCCCCACGCGTACGCCGGAGCCGCCACACCACCGCACGAGTGCCACCAGAGGAACCAACTTTCCCAACACCAGGGAAGGCTGAAAAAAGGGAAAACCAAGGCTCGGACGCCGCCCCAACAGTCGCAAGGACGTCTGTGGCGTCTGTCGAACACCGCCGTGAGCGATGACCACGTCATCTCACCTGACATAACGAAACTTAAAGATCGGGACCACTTGAGAGAGGACGAAAACCTACTAACGTCGTGATGCCAGGCCTTGGGCGGGCCAGATGCTCACCGGAAATTAAGGCACTAGGGCCACCGAAAGAAAGGGTAGGTTACTGCGATTTGGGGGTTTTGGTTTTTAAGGGGAGAAGACGAGAGAGAGAGAGAGAGGGATTTTCATTAAGAATTCCTCTTCCATTTTTTCTCCTCTCTAAAAGTGAGGAACTTGGAGAGGAGAGACCATTTATTAAAAGTTAATTACTATTATACCCTTATAATTTATTTATTTTTCCAACGATAGTAAACATCAATAAACGGACAAAAATACAATGTTCGAATATAAACCGGATAAGAAAACCTCGATAAAGTCGTGATGAAATGAGACTACCACACACATGTGTGTGGCCTAAACAAATAACATTGACCAAGCTATATAACTAAAGGCAATAAAGTATCAATTGAAACCTTCAGTTACACAAATATCAACCAAAATATAACACAAACAATAGACATAAGTCTAAACCTAGCTACTGACAACAAGACCTAGCTAGAAGTACCCTTATCCCCGAAAAATCAGTTCACCTTGATAAGTCTGTGGTCTGGGCTGAGTGTCACCGATCAATTCATCCTAAATCAGTCTATTCCACACGAACAATTCATCCTCGAAAAAACCAGTTATACATTGTTGTATCTCGTGTCACCGATCGAAAGGATTTGAAAACATTAGTTTGTGGTGACGATGACTCTCCAACAAATAAAACAAAAAATTGTTGTATACAAGAAAGTGTCCAATAATATATAATACTACCTCCTATTCTTTTTAAATGTCGTTTTGGCTTTATGAACTATTAACAAAATAAATGACGTTTTGGATCTTTTGTACATATTTTTCCATTATTACCCTCATTTGGCTAATAAATACACTACGTCTTTTCATATTCACTCTATCTTCATTAATTAGGGTTACTATTGACAAAAAAAATATTCTTAATTACTGTGCAACTTCTCGAAACTACATTTATTATGAATAGGAGGGAGTATGATTTTTTCATGTTGTTGGTGAGTTGTGTATTATTGTAATATGTATGATAACTCTTTCTCATTTTAATACTCTCTGAATTTTAAAGATTCCACTTTAAATATGTTGTCCCGTGTACCGGGTCTGCGATTAGTTTATTTGAATACATGAAAGTTTTAAGCTATCCAATAAGTTATAAATTAAATTATTTGATAGCCTTAATATATTTTGGACCGGTGAAAAAGACGAGTTTACTACGTATATTCAAGAATCACCGAGTCCCCTACCTACCTTGCGTCTACCAAATCAGCATCCGGTCAACCTCGCTACCACCAAATCCCATTCCTGGATTCAGCGAATCACTCTATATAATTTTATTCTTGCGGAGATCGTTTGAAATAATTATTCAATTCCGTCACGTCGCTGCCATACAGATCATTCTTATAATCAATGGTTTTATGTTGAAGTTTGTGTTCGTTGCTCGCAGATTTCAATCAGAACTCATTCAAAGCTTCTCCATTTTCAGGTGCTTTATTGCATCCCACCTTTTTTTTTTTTTTTTGGTTCTGCAGATACATTGTGTAACGTGTAAACTAATCTTCGTTATGTCTGAATGGAAATTTTTAGGTCAAAGAGGGGCGTAAAGAACTGCGCAATGGCGCCTCCACCAGTCTTGGCTCTAGCGCTGCCATCAGAAACCGGTCGAGTTCTAAGTATCCAGTCGCACACTGTTCAGGTCTCTCTCAATTTGATACAACTTGTGTTACAGTATTCTGTTTTAGATGTTTTTATTTTCTTTGAATGCAGTATAGAAAAAATGATGGTTGAGTCACTTTAGTGACTAAGAAATGTATCTTGATGATTTTATCTGATCATTTTGTTGCTGCCCTTTTCTATTACGCATTCCGTTTGTGTTACTTGTAAAGCTTGTTGCTTTCATGTTCCATTTTGATAGAAATGACTTAACATTTGAATTGGCTCTAGTGAATTGATTAGGCTGATCTTTTTGGGTTTTGTGGTTGAAACTGCATTAACTTATTTCTGTTTTCTGATGATATTGTCATTTTGTTACTGGTAGAACTCCAGAACTGCTGTACATTGAGCTTTATACCGTGGTCCGTCACTAAATTTGGTTTTACTTTAGGGATATGTGGGTAACAAATCAGCCGTGTTTCCTCTACAATTACTTGGCTATGATGTTGACCCTATCAATTCTGTACAGTTCTCAAACCACACAGGCAAGCTGCTTATATCACTTAATCATGCCTGCTTCATCTCAGGCATACCGCCTGAGAGAAAGATTTGAATTTCTTGGTCTAATAACAAGATCACTTTTGCAGGGTATCCGACTTTCAAAGGCCAAGTTTTGAATGGAGACCAACTTTGGGATTTAATTGAGGGCCTTGGGGCAAATAACTTATTGTACTATACTCATCTACTTACAGGTAGAGCATTAGTTCTCTGTACTTGTATCAATCAGCCTAGTAATCCTTCAAAGTCCAAGCATATTTGTTTTTTAACTTCATCAATTTGTCAATGAAAACAGTAACTTTTTTAACTTGACAGTGTAATAATGGTTGGATAGATATATTTACATATTCACTTTTACATTTTGATTCACAATGGTAGTACACCCATGTTCCTGTTTTGTGTTTGAAGCTTCAGTTTGCTTTTGGTATTTTTAGGTACTAAAATACATAAATGTTTTGATAGCGTTTGTGCTTCATTTTTTTTTTCTTCGAAAATTGTAGGTTATATTGGTTCGGTCTCGTTTTTGAATACCGTTCTTAAAGTTGTAGAGAAGCTAAGGTCTATCAACCCAGAACTTACGTATGGTAAGAACACTGGCACCAGCTGATAAAATTCTGTCATTCATGTGGTTGATTGGGCTCCGAATGTTATTCTGATTACTGCGTTTTAACTAAGAATGAGCTATTTTTTTATTTATTTATTTTTGTTTTTTGTAGAAATGTGTACATGTCTAAATTTACTTACTGCCACTCTTCTAAGCTTCTCCATCCCAATTAGGACTTAGGATGTTTGATCTTACCCTGATAAATTATTGGAAGTGGATTTTGATCTATGGTGCAATTGGATATAGGTCATTTTTAAAAATTTATTTGATTGGAAAAAGTGAGATAGAGAGTGGAAAAAATTATTTCGGTGGAAGAATGAAATAATTTTCAGATTGTGAATGGATATGAGGTAAAATGTAATGATTAATGTTGTTGTGATAGAAAAATAGTAAAATAATGAATGTAAATTATTGGTAGTTAAAAATATGCGAGTTGATGAATAATGAATTTGATTGAAAAATGGGTAGGAATTATTTATTTTTAATTTTTTAATTGTATTGATAATATTGAGGAGAACAAAGTTTTGGATTAGATGAATAATTATTTAAAAAAATAAATGTATCCAATCATAGTTCGCCCAAAAGTATTATCCAATGAAACGAAACAACAACAACAACAACAACATACCCAGTATATTCCCATAACAGGTTGGGGTCTAGGGGGTCAGTTGTACGCAGACCTTACCCTTGTAATTATACAAGGAGGCTGTTTCCATAGCGACTCAAGGCTGTTTCCATAGCGACCCAATGAGACGAAACCAAAAAGAATTAATATTCAATTGCTCCATTTATATGACCTTGCACATTTATTCAGGATGTTCTCGAGCAAGTGATTTATCTGAATCATTTTTCTTTCCTTTTGGAGTTTTTCCCTTGTTCATATATAGTTCAGCCTCATAATATCTTATAAACTGGACATTGCCTGCTTTTTTGCCATGTATTGTTAATGAACTTTCCTTGACAGTTTGTGATCCAGTTTTAGGAGATGAGGGAAAACTCTTATGTACCTCAGGAAATGGTATCGGTATATCGGGAGAAGGTAATTTGTGTTTTGAAATGAATTTCTCTTTGCTTAGGACAATCATTATTTTTCAATTTGGTCAAGGACTTGGCTCAAGTCGATCCATATTAAATGCTGAGTGTAGTTCTCAGATGTTAAAAAAAAAAAAAAAGAAAAAGAAAAACAAAAATTGCGTAAATTGGAAAGAACAGAAGTATGAAAAGTAATCCAGGTTTATAGTTCTGATGACTGTTGTTTTTTTATGTTTCTATTCCGCTAAACCAATTATTATTATATGCATACCCAAATATTTTTCTTTGGGTATCTTTGATGTATATGTTTGTCAAAATTCACTACATGTTCAATATTCTCAAAATTGGCACAAGGACAACAGTTTGCCATACCAATCGACTAGCTATAAAAGAAATATTACGTTGGTTTTATGGGACCTTATATTGGGAGACATGATTTCATCTACTTTTTAAAGCGAAATTCCCTTTGCTTTTTTTGTCTATATAATGATTGTAAAGCAAAAAATTGTCTGACCTACTCTGATAGTAAAATTGGGAATTAATCTAGGTTGTACCTGTTGCATCTATGTTGACACCAAATCAATTTGAAGCTGAATTGTTGACAGGTTACAGGTATTTGTCCATCTGACCGATTAACTCACAAAGTACATCTAGCATAATTTTACACATGGTTATTCATCTATCTCACTATTTAATGATGTTGACTGCTGAGAGTGTGTTTAGTGCGAGAGGGATTTAAGGTGGTTATGAATAAGGGGAATAAAGAAAACAGACTCCAATAGAGGAACTAAAGATAAACTGTTTCATTTCCGCACAACCACTGATTCTTTCTCCTTCTCACTAGAACGCTAGTCAATTAATCTACTACTACTATTATTATTGAAAATTTTCAATAAAATTTATTTTTAAAATTTTTTCGGTATGTTTGTTTACTTAGATTTATGGCACTTGCTTGTACTAAATTTGTTTCAGGATTTTGTCTGAGCAAGATGGTAGGAAAGTTTGCAACATTCTTCATGCCTCTGGACCATCAAAGGTTTGTACTTATTTTACGTGTCAGAAATACTTTTGAATAGGATCTTTAAATTGTTTATTGATGCATGCATTGCCTAAGTTAGAATGAGTTATACGCCTTTTAATTTCTATTGTTATCAATATTATCACCATCACCGTCATTATCAACATCACCATTTTCAGGTTGTCATAACAAGCATAAATATAGATGGCAATCTTCTCGTAATCGGAAGCCATCAGAAAGATAAGGTACAGATAACAACTTTAATTGCTATTTCTGTTCTGATTGATGAGTAATGGAGAGATAATTCTTTTGGCCAGTAGTTGTCTTGTCCATTTAAATGGCTTAACTCTTTATTGTGTGCTGGTTATTATCTATTGCACGAGTTAATGTTCTTATTTGTGAATATGATAGGGTCAACTTCCTGCACAGTTCCGGATTTCAATTCCCAAAATTCCTGCATATTTCACGGTATGTAATTGTTTTCTTTTCTAGCCTGCAAATTTATCTTGTGAATAATATATTTTTTTGTGATTTTCTGATACACATTTCATGAGTTCACGTGCTTGCAATTTTATGTCTTAAACGTTGGGGATCTTATTCCTCGTGTTTCTTTACATAAACATGACTTAGTTGAAGGATTAGAGAGACATTCCTATCATAGAAGGAAACATCAGAATTTCCATCTTTATATTAAATAAATGTGGAAAATGAAATAATTTACATTATTTTCCTTCTTGAAACTTGTTGGCTCATCTCTTAGCCTTGCAATTTCTAATGTGGCATTTCCGCTCATCTTCCATGATTTGATTGATTCCTTCATTCATTAACATATCTGTTGATTATATTATCAGAAAACACATTTGTTGATTATATTATCTGATTAGGATTGGAATTCTGACAATTAGCAGCATTCACTGTTTCTTATCTTTTAATTGGTGTTACTTGCTTTAATTTTTAAAATACTGGCCCAAAAGTTTAAAAAGAACTGAAAGCAAGAAAAAGGTTATGTAGGGTGCTCCAGCTTCCATTTTTCTCATTCAACAAGAGATATATTTACAAATTTGCATAAGCTGCTTTTTGCTTGCAGGGGACAGGAGATCTTATGACTGCACTTTTGCTTGGATGGAGCAATGTAATGCCTGAAAAAAACTTAAATTCGTCCGTGAGCCAATCTTTTACATTTTATCACGTGCCAATATTCTTATCTCTTCCTCTTTTTTTTTTTTGGGGCAGAAATATCCCAACAACCTTGATAAAGCAGCAGAGCTTTCAGTGTCAAGCTTGCAGGTATATTTATCTATTGGTTTTCTTCATCTTATTGCACTATTCATGATTTTTTTATAGTAAAAAATTATTGTGCTTTATTTTCTACGAAAATGAGATGAATTATAATTATACCGGAATAAATTAAAAGAAGAATGGAATTTAGTCTACTAAAGTCATGCATGCAGATGGTTGAGGATGCTTGGATACAAATCTATCTAAAAATATTCACTCATTTTTAACCAATCACTCATTTTAACTTAAATCTAACTCAACTTTAACTCAACCATACTATTCTCAATACTATCAATATAATTAAATAATATCAATTAACCATTCTTACATATTTCATCAACCTTAATTCATTATTCATCCACTCACATAATTTTAGCTAATCATCACTTCACATCACTTCTCTCCTACTTTTACATCAAATCAACTTTAATTGTTTTATTTTAAATATTATTCCAATATAAATTCAAAATCCCACTAACAACTAACTATACCATTTTTTTTTTCAAAATTAACCATACCAAACTAAAAAAATCCAATCAAAACAAAAAAAAATTATATCCAAGCATCCCGGTTTTCTCTAATTCTGTTTTGTTTACTCTTCTTTTAGACTAAATTAACTCTGGGTTGTTGCAGGCACTCTTGGTGCGAACGGTGAATGATTACACAAGAGCAGGCCACGATTGCCAGTCGAGCAGCTTAGAGATTCGTTTGATCCAAAGTCAAGATGATATTAAAAACCCTGAAATCAAATACAAGGCTGAGTTATACGACTAAGAGTGCAGTGGCATTGTTTAGTGCCCCAACGGCTAATTTGATTCAATACAACAGCAATAGAATAGAAAGTTAAAATGTACCACAAAGAAGGAAAAAATAGATGTCATGTTTGTCGTGATTTTTCATCTTTGTTCCTTTCCTTTTTCTTTTCCTATTTTAAGTGCAAGGAATGGAGGATTAGTAGATGAGCTAACAATGTCCAAAGTGTTTGATGGAGAGTTTTTTGTTTTTATGTCGCCATGTTAAACTCCAATAAATATATAAGCCCCAGCTGCACTATAACTGTATAATTATTCGATGACTTCTTTTTCTTTGTGTTCTTTTTTTTAATTAATTTTATTTTCTCTTTTTTGAATTAAGAAGCCTCCTGTTCTGGGGATCAATAAGTTAAGAAAATAATTGAACGTATTGATTTGCCAAAATAACTTAATACCACATTCGCCGTTGAGACACTATAGAAGATTAGAAAGGTATAATATAATGGCTCGGAGGCTATGTTCCCGTCTACCCTCTCTCAGCACCCTCGCAAAAACCCAACTCCAAAACCACGTCGTTTCTGTTTGTCCCCCAACACAGATATATTCTTCTAATCTCATTTCCCAATCTCCACACCTTCTTCCTCGCTCCAATCCAATTTTCCAAGGTAACACTTTCTTTCACTCACCTCCAAAACTTATGCACCCTATCTGTTTGTGTTAAGTCCTCAATGAACAATTACACCTTTCTCCTATTCCTCTTCGTATTTTTCTTTCTTTTCAATAGTAATAATACTAAGGCAAAATTGCATATTAATACACCACCTTTCATGTTTTTGCAATTTAATAGTTGAATAATGTTTAATTGAACATATAATCTTTGGAACTTCATAAAGAAACATATTTTTAAAATATGTCTTTCACGTAGCTCCCGATTGCCAATCGAAATTCTGAATATGTGGCAAAAGTTTCTATATGTCAATTATTTTTGGAACTTTTTCGGTCAATTTTTATGGTCCTAAGTTCACATTGATGATTGAGATATACCATTAAAAAAAAGATCAACAACTTAATAATAATAATCACATTACTAACCCTTTTCCACAGATGCTCGATCGTACACCCGGGGCAGTCGACCCCCTCGCTACGACCTCTTCGGCGGCAAACTGCCGAAGAACCCCAAAGAGTTCCGCGAGAAGTGGGCCCGCCAGATGGAAGACGACGAGGACCACCTCTGGACCGCCAGCGAGGACGACGAAAACGACCCCAACTCCAACCCCAACATCCAACTCAAGTAAGACATCAAAAAGGCCAAGCAACGGGCCCGTGTCCGTTCTGACCCCAGAGTCGACGCCGACGACAGCGACGAGCTCCGCAGCATCTGGTCCTCCGACGCCGACAGCGACGACGAGAAATCCCTATGGACCGGCGACGAGGGCGACGACGAGGGCGACGTCCCTACCGATCCCATCCCCAACGAGCGCAGCGACGAGTACATCGACCGGCTTTTCGAGTTCGACGAGAAGCCCAAGCACCGGACGCTGGCCCAGGCGATGAGAGACGAAGATAATACGGAGGAGGAGGAGATGTCTCCAGGGAAGCGTGCGCGCAAGCTGGCGGTGCAGAGTGCGCTGAGGAAGCTGAGAAAGGGACCGGACAGGCGGTATGTGAATGTGTGGGAGGTGATGAGCGATTTGGATGTTTTGATTGGGGCGTTTGAGAATATCGTGTCAGGGCCGGAGTACGAGGAGTTGAGGAAGGGTGGGCCGAAGAAGCTGAACGTGGAGTTTTTTAAGGAAGTGCAGGCAAAGATGAGGGATCCGAATTACGAGTTTTCGCCGGAGTTGAAGCTGAGGCCTAAGGGCAAGGTGGTACCGAGGAGGAAGTGGGAGAAGGCGCAGTCGAGGAGGCGTAAGGCNTTTTTTTTTTTTTTTTTGTTTTTTTGTTTTTTCATGGCTTTGTTAGTGTGTGTGTGTGTTTGTGTGATGGTATGGACTGCCCAAGTCTTGGAGTGTGTCTTGAAGTGTGTCTCATCTGTGTGTTTGATTATTGCTGGAACATGCTATCTGTTTGATTTGATGTCTTCATCAGTAACTGTTGTTGCTATGGTGTAGATATTGAGATATTAACTACAAGATAAATAACATATTTAACTAATAGAAATGAATATTTCTTATCCACCAAGTCAGAATTTAAGGTTCGTCGAAAGAGATTTATTCTTGACATTATTTCTAATTTGTCTTTGTTGTAAGATTTAATTCTTGACCATTTTGAATTACCAAAATATATTCATGCTAAACATGATATTTAATTTAATGAATGTAATTCAAATTAAGAATAGAAGGTTATAATGTGTATAAATTAATATTCTTAGAGAAAATATATTCAAAATAGGTAAAAGTAATTATCCATACTTTGAGAGTATTTATATGTATATAGTTTGAAAATAGTATAAAGTAAAAAGTACTTAAAAATAAAAATATATCCTAAAACGACATTATTTTATGAATGGAGACTGTAACAACCATTTTAATTTTTAATCTAAGTATTTGACGATGGTCTGGATTGGCTATTGTTATTTTCTTTTACAGGCTTAATAAAATCTATAGAAAATAATATTATATGATAGTTATTGCATAGCTAAAATTTTATTTATTTATCGTTTTTGGAATAGAGAAGTATCGATTCAGTTTAAAATTTAAATCTATGTTTTTAAAGATCATTTTGTGTTTGACAAATATTTAATTCTTCAAAAGTAGTAATTTTTATTCTTTTTTGTTTTAGTTTGGTGTAAAAAGTAATTCTCATTTTTACTTAGACATATGTTTTAAGAATTTTTTTTATTCAAAAGAATATATATAATTTCTAAAATTTCATATATTTGGTAAAAAAATTATTATTAATTTAAAAATTTCTACTTATTCATTTATTTAAAAATGATTAATAAAATAGTTATGATGTTATTTTATATTTAAATTATTTATAAGAAAACAATATTAAATAATAGACCAATTATATACGATAAAAAAGTTAATTATAATATCAAAATAAATAATTTTTAACCAAAAGATGTGATTGTGTGTGAATGTAAAAATGAGTTAACAAAATTACTATAGATACTCTAACATGTGTTTCTGAGATATTCTAAAAGGACCTCGAACTGGCTTGGTTCGACCTTGGTTACCTTGCTCGCTGGTTGATGATCTACGGTACCTGCACAAACTCAACACCGGATGGTTTCCCAGCGTAGAGCCTCCGATGCTCAAGTCAGAACGTGAAGAAGATGATGAACAATAGTAGAGAACTGTAAATAGGTGTAGAGTGAGTGTAGAGAATGTAATGTAGTTATGGGCATACCTCACTCCCTTGTATAGGGATGTGTTACTTTGTTGCTCAAGGCTCCCTGAATGTGCTACCCGAACTCCCCAATTCTATTAAGCCACATGGTTTTATCCACGTGTGGAGTGTTCATTCTTATCGCTTAGTCTTCCTTATTAGACGATCTAATCATGATATCAATATAGATTACTTCGAGGTAGGGTGTTGTAGATACTGAGCTCATATGCACTGCTTGCCTGGTCGATCCTACGATCAGTCAAGTCTTCAGGTCAATCTTCCACCAGTCCGTCCAAGGGCTCTAATTCGACCTATTGGTGCTCCTTGGATCTGCTACATCCTTCTCGACCTGAAGCCAATCTTTTGCTCGATTTGTCAGATCACCCGGTCCAATCCTGCTATTTTCTCGGGTCTAGTCTACCCAGTATGGTATCTCATATCATATGATATTTAAATACAACTTGAATATAATATATATATATATATATATATATATGGAATGGTTCAAATAAAAACTAGTCCTAGTATGAGAACCGTGAGAACCGTATTTGATGCTATTTTTTATCGTGTATGATGCTATTTTTAATATCACATGGTGCTATCATTTTCACAAATGCTAATATAAATTGTGTTGTTATTTTTAAGAAAATAGATCAATGTTAAAAATAGCACTAAAACACAATAAATCATAGACTATGTACAACTATAAATAGTGATTCTCACGCTAGGACTTGGTTCTCATTTGAACCACATCCTATATATATATATATATATATATATTTACTAACAAATGTTAGACGAAAATTTGAACAAATCATTAATTAAATATTGATTTAATATATTTGTAAATTGTACGTATATTCATATTTTTCTCCATTAAGATATACATTAAGTTGTAATTTTAGTTACTGAGATTTGTTGGTAACTAATTGAAATGACTGAGTGAAAGGATTTTTTAATGATTCACACGAATTATTTTGAGGAAATCATGGAAATAATTGAGCAGATTTTTTGGTAGGCAGATTTAAAAAAGATACGCGTACAATTTAAAAAAATAGTTGGCTTTGTGAAAAGGATTTTTTTTTTTTTCCATTAAGATATACCTTATTGTGTAGATATTGTTATTGAGATTTGTTGGCAACAAATTTAATGAATTAAAATGAATATATTATGACAATTTTTCTATGGAACCATCCACACTTATTCACAAATAATGTATTGACATGTGTCATACAATAAATATACTTTACACATGTGTCAATACATTAAGTGATGAATGATTCCATTAGAAAACCATCCGATGGTACCATAGAATTTCTGTATATCATGCATTCACACACGGTTTGGAGCCATCGGATATTTTTCTTATGGAATCATCTATCACCTAATATATGAATTTTTGTATATCATGCATTCACACACGGTTTGGAGCCATCGGATGATTTTCTTATGGAGTCATATATCACTTAATATATTGACACTTGTCTGTGTATTTATTGTAGGACATGTGTCAATACATAAAGTGATGGATGACTCCATGAAAAAACCATGGCACCATAAAATTCTTGTATATCATAGATTCATACACGATTTATTTGAGGAAATCAATAAAATAATTCAGCAAATTTTTTGATTGACGGATTTTAAAGATTTACATGTACAATTTAAGGAAATCATTGCCTATATTTTTAAGAGTTAAGGTTTACATAATATCATTTTCAAATAAATATTTTTTTTTAATTTGAATTTTCATTCCACTCACATTTAGAAAGAAAATACTAAGAATAATAAATTTAAAAATTTTAAACGAGAATTTTACTAATATTTCAAGTAAACACCCATCTTTATTATATAGTAATAGATGCCAACTTTTCATTTAGTAATATACTACACTATAATATGAAACGCCGGAAAGATTGGTCTCCACTTTCTTGCTTTATCCATTGCTTGTTTACAAAATTGATCCTGAAAATTCTTTTAATTAATTTATTTGATAAACTACTCCGTGGATAGTAGTAGCTTTTTACCGAACATACTAGACCAATTTGTCTACCTAGTATGTTATTATATTCTTATGGGGCTGGGCATGGTAATACTAAATAATTATTATTACCGCTGTATTTTTGTACCTAAGCAAACAAACAAAGAAGAGGATTAGCAAATTTTGATGAGCTCCTACTTTTGTCATCATCGCTTACTATTATTATTATTAAATAGTACAGTACCCGTGCGATGCACGGGACTTTATTATTTTTTATTTTTTAGTATTCAAATCAAATTATATAATAAAGGAACGATCATGACATTATTAAATATAATAAAAATAAAATTCATATATTATTGAACACTTCCTTATATACAACGCCCATAGTTTGAAATCATACTCAAGGTGGCACATATTTTTTTACGATTTTTAACTTGAATCATCAAAGATCAAATAAAAAATGTGCCTTTCAACAAAATATTTTGTTAATCGTCGCATATTTCCCAAAGTTCCGATATCAGATAGGAGTCTTATGGCCCAGACTCAATATACACTCACGTTATAAGGCAAAATGTTTGTTCTCACATGTTTTTTTTTTCTTAAACATATTTTTTGTTCTCGTAACTGATTATTTATATTATATTTGTTGAAGTTTAGAGATGTAACATCTGAATATATTTTATTAGAATTTGTATTCGTATGTTTGTACTATTACATGTATTTTTTGTGCTCGGAATTGATTGTTTTTTTTTTAGAATTTTGAGGTTCAAAGACGAAGCATCTTCATATAATTTTTAGAGCATGTATTAGTACAAATGAAAATGATTTATGAATGTTTATATGATATGGCGGATCCACATATGGGCCAGCCTAGGCAATTGCCTAGGCTGGATTTTTGGTATTAACTTCATATCATTACATGTGTTAATTGTAAATTTATATTTAATATTTCTAGAAATATAAATACAAGTTCTAATTTTAAAATTTTAAATAATTCTTACAAAATAACATTATTTTTTTATTTAAAATGATCACCTCACCTGTCAAATTTGACTGCATTATGTTACAATATTTTTAGTATTTATAATATATAATAGGCTTGATAGTTAAAGTTTATGAGAATAGATATTAAATATTCTAGTAATTTGTAAAAGATCTTTTTCCCATAAAAAACCGAACTAAAATTTAAAATTCTTAAGCAGTATAATCCAAGAAGATATAGATGCATTAAATTCTCAATAACCAACCTTAATAGGTATGTTAATTGTTTGTTTAACAAACTCCATCTGATGAGGTATAGATGCATTAGGATTCTTTGTTAATTTGTTTAACAAAATGATTAGATTTGTTAATTCCATCTATTCAATCGCCCACCATCATCAACATCACCAATACCAAACACGAGAAAAATTGAAAACCCCCTTTTCAGCCCACCACTCGCACACCTAACCCCATGAATGGCTGATAAACCAACCAAGCACAAAATCAAGAGCAAAAAGCATAAACACCAGCATCCAGACGACCCGGCGTCGGCAAAATCCACCGCCGATCTCTCCTTCAAGCCCTCCTCCGATGTCAAGTGACTCCGATTTGGAGGCCGCACAGCGGCTATGGTGATTTTCGTGTTCGAATTGGAGGGGCTGAGGGCGGCCGCGAAACGGCTGTAGCCGGCGGAGATGCCGCTAGGAGAGGTGAACTGGAGGCTGATTCGGGGGATGGCGAGTTGCGAGATGGCACAGTTCAAGTTACGGAAGAGATGGTGCGGATAGTAGTGTACGCGGTGAGGAGGTGCGGCGGATCAGATCTGAGGGAGATTCTGCAGGCAGTGGCGGCGCTCAAGGATTTCCTCGACCAGCATCGCCATAATTTAAGGCTGCCCTCTTTTTTTTGAAAAAGAAAAAGAAAAAAAAAATAAAAAAGTTACTAAGAATAGTAAGTAATCAATGTTGATTAAAATTTGACTAAAGTTTGACTTACTATTTTTAAAAAATGTTAATTCTTATTATATATATATATAGATAATATTACTATTATTAGTATTAGAGAATAGGTAGTGAGCTACAAATGCTACATTAGGATAAGGAGAGAGAATGCATTTGGGAACAAACCAAGATTTGAGGGGAAATGTAGCTAACTAAATCTAGCAAAGTAGACTGTGCTAAACCAGTGCAGATTTTATAGTTAAATTTGAAAATTGGTCTAAAGTAGTTATGGACCAAATTTTAGTGGAGTATATATTTACTAACAAATGTTAGACGAAAATTTGAACAAATCATT